TACATTTCTTATCAAGAATTGTTGCCTCCTCCTTTGTTTCCCCTTCCCATCCCTTCCCATCCCTTCCTATCCCTTTCCATCCTCCCTCCCCCCCCCCAAAGTTGTAAAGTTCATTTTTTTGACATAATGACTTGCACATCTCATTGTTGCAATGGGTCCACCTGTATCCCTATTTAAATGATTTGTTTTTTAACAAAGGAAAAACTCTTTTTTCCATCTCCTGGAGTTCATTTTGGTCAATATTATTTTATACGACCAGATGCACATAGACATTGTGCCTTTGTAGTCCTCTCCTAAATATCCTTCTTTCTACTAAAAATTTTTACAACAGGCATTTGGTTTGGTTTTGGTATATCTTTCCAAGTTGAGGATTTTCTCCTTCTGAGTTTGTATGCTTAAAGAACTGCATGCACGTTAATTTGCGTTCCACAGACAGAATCCCTGATTCTATCATATACAATCTGAATTGGCATCGACTATTTCAAGTTAGAATCCGTGCCAGGATAAGTAGGTAGGTCTCAGCCTCCTGGGCTGTCTACTGACATTTAATAATGAACTGTTTTTGCCAGCCTCCATACTTTTTGCATATTTAAATGATCAGCTTTACTTTCTGTGATTCTCACCGGATTGTGCTTTTGGTTAGCTTTGTGGTCGCTGGCCAACAGAGTTCTTGCTGGTTCTTCAGAAGTCTGTGCTGAGCATGGGGGAATGGTGCAGAGGAATTCTGGCCAACATGAGATGAAGATAGTGTGTGGAATTAATTGATGGAACATTCTCGAAAACGGCAGTTTGAGGATAAGACGAATGTACTCGGCCATGTGCAGCTTTAGAGAAAAAGAAAGATTGTATTCTTAATATTCTCCAGCTTTCTGACCTTGTTTGTCTATCACCTCGCTCTCTTTGGTGGGCTTCTTGGATAGGTTGATAGAAACATTTATTCCATAAAGTTGCCTATCTAACCAACATCCCTGCTATGGCCCAACCAGTAAACTACAAAGATGGCCTGACATGGCCTTCTCAGCCTATGGTACTTTGATATGCCTTTCATCACACAAGAAGCTTTAGAAAGTCTCCCTTATAGAGGTACCTCTATGGTATGGAATACTTTTTTTTTTTCTTTTTGCTACCTTCAGTCCCATTCTCCTTGTGAATAAGATCAGCTCAGGGTTCAAGTCAGAAGCTGGATTCTCCTTAGGATAGACATTCTTGCTGTCTTGATTAACACCACACAGACAGCACCCAGAGCTGTGGCTTGGGTGGCCTCCTGAGTCAGAGCAGCCTTGCCCAAGTGAGCATGTGTTAGCGTGCAACGTTTCCTCTATAGGGGGATGTTGGTAAAAACAGGAATGTCCTTATTTTTACGGTCTGTGTCACTACTTAACTAATTTCCCCTCCTCTTCCTTCTCTGTCCTCTCCTCTCCTCCCTCTCCTCTCCCCTCCTCTCTTCTCTTCTTTTCCTTTGTTGTTTCTCAGGTAACTCTTGATACTATATCCAGGGAGTAAAAGGTGCTGGAGCCATGCAAACTTAGGGTGCTTTTTGTTTTAGTTTGGTTTTATCTTTTGTTTTATTTATATTCCTGTTTTTGTTTTGAAAACACAGTCTCTGTGTAGCTGATTCCTGCCTCTGCTTCCTGGGTCCTGGGGTCACAGGTGTGCCATAGTAGGCTGATCTGTGATCCCTGACCACTGGAAGCCAGGGCCCTGGGGGTGGAGGCACGGGACAGTATCAGATTTCTGTATCCTCACTCCGCAATTAGACCCTTGAAGCAAAAAGGTTTTAAGAACAGGCTGTAAAATACCCGTGCCTCTTTATTAAGCCTATCTTCCTATCAGATGGAGAAACTTTACTAGTGATTTTTAATTTTATACAGTCTATTTTTCCCCCTGGGCCAAGTGGTAGGGGAGGAGGGGGTAATGTCTGGGCACTAAGAGCTTAAGTATAACAATGCTATTTTTCCTGTCTCTGGATGATTAAATACAAGCTTATCCACTTAGTAAGACAATGATTGTGGCTACATTAGATAATATTGATAGGGAGATACAAAGAAAAAAAAACTTAAGTATAATGAGGTAACTATTTATTTTTACTCTTTCTGTAGGTTAAAAATTCCCAAGACATTCAAATGAACAATAAAAAGTAATTGCAAAATTGTCTCCTGAAATGGAAATAGATTTTATTCCCAAGCATTAGCAATTTTCTTATTATTCTTCAAAATTGGCTGTTAAGTGTTTTAAAGCTGTAGGTGTGTGGTTGCTGAGGGGTGGAATCGGAGTCTTGTGGCTCTATTTCAGAGCTCATTTCCAGGAAAGGAGGGACCATCAGAGTAGGACATTTGGGCCGTAGCTCAGGCAGGTCCAGATCACAGCATGAGAATACACTTCCCATGAGGACAAGGAAGCAGAGAAGGAAGTTAGTTTTCACTACAGGAAGTTGTATTTGTAGCAAATGCAAAATGGGAATCATTGTGAGGTTTGCTATACTTGCAAAGATTACCTTCAGAAATCTCAATGCTGACTGCTGAAGATTGGGTTTTCTGTGATGATTTAGGTTGTTATTTAAGGCCTTGGGGATACAACTCTTTGTTTTGTTGTTAGTATTTCAGAAGAGCTCTTTAATCATACATATAATAAACTAAAAAGTTTTTGTTTTTTCTCTCCCTAACTCTGGGCCATTAGACTTCAGGGGAGGTGAAGATATATAACTGAAGAGAAAAATGGAGGAAATGGAGGTGTGGTTCAAGGGGTAGAGCCTTGAGCGAAAAAAGGCTAAGCAAGAATGTGAGACTCTGAGTTCAAGCCCCAGCCAGCACTAGCACCCATCTAAATATCATAAATAAGAAGGGATGAAGAGAAAGCAGGAAAATTGATTACTTTATACTCTTAACTTTGCCTTTGCCTTTTTTTAGAGGGGAGAGGAAATGGCTGTTTTAACGTTGGTAATGATTTTTTTCCCATTATCTTCCAGTAACTTCCACAAATTACAAGGAACATCAGCTTTCAATTATAATTTCAGTTATTTTGTTTACAGTGTAAAATTGCTATCAGTCTTACATCAGTTTCCTACTTTTCTGTACATGGAAGATACATAGCAACTTATTTGGAGAAGGAGATAAATACAAGAAAATAGAGTCCTTTCTAGATTCATACACACACACACAAACACACACTCTATCTTACGTGTTGGTGCTCAAACATTTTCTCTAATTCTCACAGCCAATCCATTCAAAACACAGTAAGGCACCAGTGACCGGGTTTCCCAGACCATTCTTATAGTCAGCCTTAGCAGGAGAGAGGTGGTTGGGAGACTGAAATGGAAGCCAACTCTCACATAGCAGAAGGCTCGGCCTTTGTGTTTAAGGAAAATCACCAGAGTAGAAAAATTATCCATGGAATGTGTATTTCTGCTGTGAAGCAAACTTGTGTGCTAGCCAGCTACCTGGAAAGCAAAACAAGCAGAATGAAGGAATGCCTCTGAGATCGTTTTTTACCGGAACACCTGTCCCCTGTTGCAATCCTCCCGAGTATAGTGAGAGTAGACAGCACTTTGGTAATCAAAGCAGATGATTGAAGTTGCAGCCGTGTATATGAAACACTTCTGTTTCTTGCCCCTTGACCTTGTGTGTCCAGCATGCTCCACCTTCTCTTCCCTCCTGAACTTGAACTGTGACTGCAGGCCTGGTCTTCATTATAGGGCCTGGCAGTCATCTCTTTGCAGCTTCAGTTACAAAGCTATGCAGAGGACTTACTGACCTAAAGGAATACAATAATGTGTTTAAGTAGAATGTAGTCTGCTTTTAAAAATAATAATAATGCAGTGATAGAAGGACTCTGTCTTTATCCCCTCCTTCTCTTTCCTGAGTGGATGAGGAGCCCAGAATATGCATGAGGGAGAGAGTAGGCATGCAGAGAGTTCTCAGACAGGAAGTCAGTGTGTGTGTGTGTGTGTGTGTGTGTGTGTGTGTGTGTGTGTGTGTGTGCGCGCGCGCACGCGCATGCGTGTGCCTGCCCCATGTGTGTGCACACCCTCCCATGCATGTGCTCACGTGCACATGCATGCACATATATGTGAACCCTCAAACCAGCCAGGTTTTCCTACAGCAAGCATCTTGGCTAAAGAGGTTCACCAGGTTGATACTGGTAATTACGACACTTGAGTTCATTCTGGTTTTACACAGGAGGACTTTCAAGACTTGAATTTAGTGTTATTATTTTTTTTATACTGGGGCATGACCTCATCCTCTTGCTTGGCTTTTTTTGCTCAAGGCTGGTGCTCTACCACTTGACCCACATCTCTACTTCCAGCTTTTTGCTAGCAAATTAAAGGCAAAGAAGCTCACAGAGTTTCTGTGTGGGCTGGCTTTGAATTGTATGATCCTCAGATCTCAGCCTCCTGAGTAGCTAGGATTACAGACGTGAGCCACCATCACCCAGTTAGGATTTTGGTATACTTCTTAAGTACATTTAGGTCTGGAGAAAGAAGAAGAGGGGTGTGGGCAGGCTCTCCTAGTAGTGTTCACAGAACTTGGATGCCTGACAGGCGGAGCATCGGGTTAATTGTTCTTGAGGCAGGAAATCTGTAGTAGAGGAAGCAGGTGTTGTGAGGTGATTGCTGCATTTTGAGATTATCTTATCAACTGCTTTGCTTTTCGAGGTTGCACCTAAAGAATCAGCTGAGGTTTTGGAAGATGCCTTACCTTGTTATCTGTAGGCTTAATACTGAAGCAGCCAGGTACTAAGGAAAGGGAACGTGTCTGGAACACATTCATCTGGAACTTGATAACATACATACAGCAATGTCCCCAATATCCATTTTTCTTTATTTCTTTTTCTTATTTTTTTTTGGCTTTCAGCATCTCATACTTTTAGAAAACGTGTGACTTAAGAGTGAATTCTTGTTTTTCAAATTGTTTTCAGACATTTCATGTTCATGTAAACTTGGCTTTATTGATTTCCTGATTTTTTCTTTATTTTTTTGTTTTGTCCATTTTATTTTTAATCAGCTACATCAAATGGGTCTTTGGAGGGCCTGGATAACCAGGAGGGAGGGGTGTGCCAGACAAGAGCCATGAAGATCCTCATGAAAGTTGGACAAGGTAAAGACCGCCTGCCACTTTGTGATGCCACTGTGACCCAGTTATCCCTCAGCTAGCGGAGCACCAGTGCGCTGACACTCCTCCTGCGTTTGTTCTGCAAGGCAGCCCTTCTCTGTACCTTGAGCCCCTGGTAGAGCTCCTTGAGCCAATACTATAAACTTCTCTTCCTGAGATCTCTCTAAAAGTTAGGCGCAGCCAGGCAGACTATCTATGGCCACATATGCCTAGATTTCTCTTTTAAGAAGCCAGATACTTCTGTTCCAAAATCAGAATAGCCAGAATGTAAACTATGTTCCTTCAGTTTTGCTCGTTTTCAAATCTTGACTACTGGAGAGTTGCGTTCACCGTGCCTTTTCACGTAGAGATAACCTGCTGTGCAGAAAGAGAGAATTATTCTTCTAAATTAGAAATTGGTATAGTAGTCAATCAGCTCGCTCAGTTAAATTGAAATGTCATCTGCAATGCTTTGCCGGCCAAATGCAAGAATCCCTATAGTTGCCACAGATGGCCTTCTTAATCTAAACCTCCGAAATAACTAGAATAACCCGTTTTTCTTTTAAAAGGGAAATTATATTCTTGTATTTCACAGTGCTTTGCATAAAGAATCTTATGTTCCTTGCTATTCGTGCCTCTTGAGATATATGTGCAGCTCTTAAAGCTAGCTACCATCGGATGTCTGTGCTGTAATTCATCATTTGTTCTTCATATAGATGCCAGTTCTGCTGGATCGAGCAGGAATAATGATCCAACTAGACGTCCAGAATTAGAAGCTGGTACGAATGGAAGAAGTTCGACAACAAGTCCCTTTGTAAAACCAAATCCAGGTACAGCAGTGTAGTCTCTGTGTGTATGTGGGGGTCTGGGTGGACCACTATTCTGAGTGCCCCTGGAAACAGCAGTGTGGAATCAAAGGACTTCTACCCCCGTGGTGTGAACTGGCAGTTACAGACGCCAGCGGTCTCTGCTCTCAGTGAATCATTATTAATTACACTCAGTAAGACAAAAGAGTTCATTCCCATGATGGTCCAGCACTCCAAAGCGAAACTGCGTATCAGAAGGACGTGCCAGTCATTAGGGTGGCGAAGTCAGCCCTGTTCCCATTGGCTGACGCTGTACCAAGCTCACTGTCAACACCAGCTTTAAGCTGATGTTAATGTATATATAATTAATGTTGTAATCCCTCATCTAATTATGTCTAATCCACAACGAGCCTCGCAGATCCTCTTCTGAATTTCAGATGGCAACATTTCCAACAAGTGTAATAGGGTATGCTTTTCAGGTGGACATTTTCTGTGTCAAATAAAATATTAAAGGGATCTCTAGCCCAATTGTTGAATCCTAGATAAAGCTTTTTTTTTTCTTGAACATGTTTTTTTTGTGGTTTTTGTTTTTAGCTGACTAGAGATAAACGGCTGAGTGTCCATCTTGGTTTGAGACAGCCTGTTTGCACAAGGGCTCTGTGTGTGTGTTTGTGTCCATGGCTGAGAGAACTCAGCCACTGCAGCCATACTTGGTCTCCAAGAGTCAAGGAGAGAAGTTGTTATTTCTAACTTCCAGTGACAAGATGTGTCAAATTCTTGTGACAAACTGATAAATGGATCATGTAATGATGCCAGGCAATTTTTCAGCGCTTAACATTTGGGTTGGCAGTCTGTTCTGTGCGCGAGTGTCTGCTGCCTTCCAAATATATTTTAAGTGTAAATCAAATAATACAAACGAGTTGAACGTTTTCCCAGGCTCCACGGCGCCCCTCCTCCAGTTTTGGCACTGGGGCTGCCACTAGGCAGGGCTCCTGTGTGCAAGGCAGGCATGAGGAGAACCGCAGGAAACACAGGATTTGGAAGGGAAGGGAAGAGCGGGAGCACTGGAAGGCGGAACCTTGCCCCGAAGCAGAGAGCCGAGTGCTCCCTTTGTTCCTCGTCCTAGCCAGAGTTCGGCCCACATGGGCCACAGCCTGCGGGACATCAGTGGCTGGCTATCACACCAGCCCTGCTGCTGGTGAAATGGAAGAGGAAGCTGTGCAGGCGCTGGTGGGTGGCGCTCAGCTCCAACTCTGGGGAATCCATTCCTGCCCTGCTGGCCTCTAGATAGAGGAGCAGGTGCTGGGCCTGCGCTAGTTAAGTCAACCCCACCTGTTAGCAAGGTCTTGGGCCTTGATTCCCCGGGTCCAGGGCTTTACCAACAGAGCCACAGCTCCACTCCCAAGCGGGTAAGAAAGAGTCTCACCCACTTTTCCTGCTCAGACTGCAACTGCGACCCCCAGATTCTCCACGTTTAGTTGTATAGGTACTAGCCAGGATTACAGGCGTGAGCCCAGGTACCCAGCATAGCTTTTAATATATATGTATATATATTAATATATCTATAAATAATATATATATATAATTAAGCAGCTAGGAGGTCAGGTGCGGGGCACATTAACGGTATCTCTCTCGTGCCCAGGTTCCAGCACCGACGGCAGTAGCGCCGGGCATTCGGGGAGCAACCTCCTCGGTTCCGAAGTGGCCTTATTCGCAGGGATTGCGTCAGGGTGCATCATCTTCATCGTCATCATCATCACGCTGGTGGTGCTGCTGCTCAAGTACCGCGGGCGGCACCGCAAGCACTCACCACAGCACACAGCCACGCTGTCGCTCAGCACGCTGGCCACCCCGAAGCGCGGCGGCGCCGGCGGCCACACCGGTGGCTCAGAGCCCAGTGACATTATCATCCCGCTGAGGACGGCCGACAGCGTGTTCTGCCCGCACTACGAGAAGGTGAGCGGTGACTACGGGCACCCGGTGTACATCGTGCAGGAGATGCCCCCGCAGAGCCCCGCCAACATTTACTACAAGGTCTGAGGCCTCTCCCCACCCCGACGCCGGCCTTCGCCTCCCACTGGGAACTCTGCTGACCCGCGTGGCCAGGTCGCCTCGTGGCGCGCCCCACCTCGGAGACCTGGGAGGGGGACTGGACTTGGCACAGGGGGTCCCCCCCCACCCCTCCACTCCACCACAGCCCAGGAGGGAGCGTGGACGGTGCCCGCCTGGAAGGTTCCTGGAGCTGGACAGCTTTCTAGACTGCTAGGAGACCCCCATTGGGACAGGGTGCGCACCCTGGGCCTGGGGAACGGGGGCCCCCTCCTGCCAGCCATGCGCTGCCCCCCACCTGTGGCTCAGGCCTCTTCTCTGGGAACCCCGGGAGGGTGGGGTGGTGCAGGACCCGGTGCGGTGCGCACGGCCCCCACCCTGGGCGCCCGGGCACCCTCCAGCCCTCTGGCCTCCGGTGCCTCCCAGCCTCCCGAGGGCACGTCCTGGACTTGTCACCCGGACCTCGAGGGCTCAGTAAGGTTTCAGAGATCGCTAGCGTGTCGTCCTCACTTGTCTCACTCTGGTCCCTCATCCGGGGGCTCCCGCCGTCTCCCTTCACCTGAAACCCCCCACCCCCTGTCAACTCACTTCACCCCTGCGTCCCGGGGACGCTCGGGGATATAAGCGCCAACGGTCCGCCTCCAGAGCGTGCGTGCGCGGGCTCGAGCCACTGGGGCACCCCCCCAGAGCCAGGCCGGGCCCCGCTGGCAGCCACCGGCCGCCCAGGCGAGGGCAGGAGCGGCGGAGAGCGGCAGGGGCAGGGCAGGCCGCCCATCCTGGCATGCCCAAGCTGCTGCCTCTCCAGAGCGCAGGGAGGACGGACAGACGGACAGACGGGCAGCAAGCACAGCGCTTTGGTTTGGTTTTTATTTTTTGTTTTTTGTTTTTGTTTTTGTTTTTGTTTTTTTTTACTGAGACTGAAGAGGCAGAAATCTAGGAGACAACACACGCAGTCTGGCGGGTGAGGACGTCGCTTAGATAGACTTAGCAGACAGCACCGTGCAGGGAACGAGGCCTCTGCGCCCACCTTGTAAGGAGGGGAGCGGCCCCGGGCACCCAGGACGGAGTCCGGCAGGACTGTCGTGGTGGTACTGGCAATAAGATGCAGCTCTGGAGCTGTAGGAGAGTCGGTCTGCTTCGGGTGATGTTTTAAGCAGACTCAGCTGCTATACTGATCACATTTTATGAAACACAGGGAATAAAGCATTTAGGAGAAGAGCAGAGAGCCAAAGCTTGACCTAGAAGTTGAGAAGCCAAAGGTCATGCAGGCTGTAATTCCATCACCACTGACCGTTATGAAAGAATTCTCATAGGTTTAAAAAAAATAATAAGGTAGGTCAGATTTCCCCAGCCCCCCTGTCCCCACCCCCTCCCCGATCGAGCCTTATGACACTTTGGTTTATGGCGGTGCTGGCCGGGCTGCAGGGAGGTACTGGGGACCTCAGCCCGCGGCTCGAAATCAAGGAAAAGCACACACATGGCAAACCTCTTAGAGTCCTTAAGACGGAAGTAAATTATGATGTCGAGGGGGAGAAGGAAGATAGGCATATTTATAATAGGTGTATAGAACACAAGGGATATAAAATGAAAGATTTTTTTTTACTAATATATATTTTAAGATTGCACACAGAACACACCAGAAGATGTGAAATTCATTTATGGCAATTAAAGCAGTCACTGTGGCTCAGTGCTTTAGGAAGAAGAAGAAAAAAAAAAGAATTGGACAGGTACTTCTGGGAAATACAACATCACTTGCAAAAAAATAACACTAATGAGAGCGAATCTCCACATAACCAAGTCCTCCGAAGACATCTCGCAGAACTGTAGACAAGGAAAAAATACAAGCCCCCAATCCCAGGAACTCCGTGTGACTGCATCCTGCGCTTAGATGCTTCCGGCATTGTTTTCCGTGTCGGGTTTACCCTCACCCAGGCTGAGGTGTCCTGTAGCATTGGCAGGTCACACTGAGGGGGTTTCACTTGAAAGTTTAACTGTGGCTCCTTCCTCTTCTCCTTCTCCTACTCCCCCGCCCCCCGCCCTACCAGAAACAAACAAAAAAAGAGTAAACAGGAAACCTACTTTTTATGTGCTATGCAAAATAGACATCTTCAACAGACTCCTGTTACTATGGTAACGCTTTGCTTTCTGAATTGGGAGGGAAAAAAATGGAAAAAAAAATGTAGCGACAGCATTTGAAGGTTCTCAGCCCTCTACTGAGTACCTGCAAAAGTGAGTTGTCACTGAAATTATTATTATTCCCTAGTTCCTGATCCTGAAAATGATGTTGGTCCAAAGTGTGTGTGAGTGTGTGTGTGTGTGTGTGTGTGTGTGTGTGTGTGTGTGGTCTATGTGTGTACATATATGTATAATATATATCTCCAATATATATTATATATATCTATATCATTGTTCTGTGGGGCGTTGCCATGGTGACCGGCCACAGTACATATGTCATTCTTTCCATCGCCCCCACCTCTCCTTTCTGTGCATTCGTACAAGGTCCTCTTGTAAGCCATCGGAAGTTACTTGTAGGATGGGGGAGAGAGGCGAGGAGGGGAAAAATGGGAACCAGTCTGATTTTAATGAAATCAAATATATGTGTCCTCAGTGGGCTACATTTTGGCTGTATGCTCAACTGAAAAAAGAAATCAGATGAAATGATAAAAGAGTTACCTGCAACCAATTGGAAAGTGTTCTGTGCGTCTGTTTGGTGTCTGGTGCAGAAAATGACAATCTACCAACTGTCCCCTTCTTTGGAGTTGGTTCAGCTTTGGGAAGTTACTGTAAATGCCTTGCTTGTATCTTGTCCTTAGTCACCCGACTTTGGAACTTTACCATCATGTTGAAGTGAAAGATACTGTAAATAGGTTCAGATTTTACTGTCTATGGATTCGGGGTGTTACAGTAGCCTTACTCACCTTTTTAATAAAAAAAAAATACACATGAAAACAAGACAGAAATGGCTTTTCTTACCCAGATTGTGTACATAGAGCAATGTTGGTTTTTTATAAAGTCTAAGCAAGATGTTTTGTATAAAATCTGAATTTTGCAATGTATTTAGCTACAGCTTGTTTAACGGCAGTGTCATTCCCCTTTGCACTGTAATGAGGAAAAAAAAGATGGTATAAAAGGTTGCCAAATTGCTGCATATTTGTGCCGTAATTATGTACCATGAATATTTATTTAAAATTTTGTTGTCCAATTTGTAAGTAACACAGTATTATGCTTGAGTTATAAATATTTTTTTCTTTCTTTGTTTTATTTCAATAGCCTGTCATAGGTTTTTAAATCTGCTTTCGTTCCACATTGCAGTTAGCCCCAGCAATTGAGACCTGTGCAGTCACACTCATTCCACGTCTGTTTCAAACTGAATTTGTTCTTAAAAAAATAAAATATTTTTTTCCTATGGAAAAAGTGCCTTAAAGTATTTTCCTTTTCTTCTGTTTTCTTTTTTCTTTTGCTTGCTTTCTTTTCTTTTTCTTTTTCTTTTCCTTCTTTTCATTTGCCTCCTTTTACTTTATTTTCCCCAAACCCAGAAACTTGTCCATGGATAAATGGGTACTATATCTGCTCCTCAGAATCTAGACACACACATAATGTGAATCAAGTTTTATTACACTCTGGTCATCCTGAGCAGGAAGCCTCTCCACTGGCACCCACACTGTACAATAAGAATGAAGGTATCCATGAGAGGATGAGGAAAATAGACTCTCCTTGTACACTGAATGGCAGATTGATTTTATTTCCATTTAAGCACAGCAGTTTGCTATAGATCTCTTCATTTTGCCCCAAAAGGTACTCCTAAAGGAAGGGGGAAAATGAAATCTTTGTTGTAAAAAAAAAAAAAAAGATCTGCCAATCATGAAAACACATTTTGTAAGACTACATGGATTGAGGCCAACCTGAAGCCAGGTCGGGTGTTGACATGTCCATCGCTTTCCTTCTGGGTGCAGGGACCTCCTGGGAGGTTCGGATCTTCCAGGTCTCTCCCTGGAGGTCTGACATCATCGTCATAGGCCCTGAGAAGCAGCGAGCTCCACCTCGGGAGGAGACCCCACCTGCTCATGCGCTCCCATCACTGCCCAAACTGCCTCTCGAGGCATGACAGGATTAGCACGGCCCCTGATGTCGGAACACACTGGAGAGTGCTCTAGGCCTGGCTGACTTGACCAAGCTCACAGCCCCAGAGAGTGCAAGCAGCCATGGTTGGCAGTCACACCTGCAGAGGAGAGCCATGAAAGGCCAGTTTAGAGCCCACCGATCAGGGTTTGTTGAGTGAATACTCTGTTAAATAACAAAAGACGCTCCCAGAGGCACGATTTGAGTTGTTGCTAGAATAGCGATTTTGTCTCCAGCATTTTATTCTGCTGTATATCACTGCCACTGGGTTGCATATCCAAGTTCAAATATACAACTGACAGCTGGACGTTGGACCCTATGTACGAATATCACATTTGGGCAGGAGAAAAAACACCGAAGTATTGTCTTCCTAAGCTTTTACATTGTGGCCTGCAGCACACAACATCATTGCTTCTACCTTGCTATTGAGACCATATTCTCCGCACTGGGTTGGGCAAGGTCTGTGAAAGAGAAATATGATAGGTCCAGTGTTATTCTGGGCTACTGGGGAGAAGAAATCATAGCTAGTGGAGTGTCTCCTAGGGAGCATGTGCTGCCCGGATAATCTCCCCTGTGTGGAAGGCAGGTCTGCTGCCTCATTCATCCACCTGCCCCCACGGCCAGAGCCCAGGATGATAAGCTTTTCAGAGTTCAGCTTGGCTCTTACCATGGTTGACTCCTATTTTGGCAAATGAATGTCACTGGCAGCTGCTGACATCAGCCAGAGAGCAATCAGCAATTGAAAAAAATAAAACCTAGGAGAGTAAAAAGTCACTTTTTAATGGATGGGCAGAGAGTAGGTGTGAAGCTCTTGGGCTGGGTACTAAATAGGTTTTCTGGTGGGTTCAAAGGACACACCATTTCCAATGCAATGTTAAGGACACCCAAACAGATAAGTGTGTGTTTTTCACTTGGGTTAAGTGAATGTGAACCTGTGTTTGTGATATTTGCACTGTAGACTTCAAGGTAGGTGTTCAGTACTATGATGGCAAAGAACATTTCCTGCCTCTTCGCTCCTGTAGGTGGGGATACCCATCAGTGGCCTGATAGGATTGCATTCAAATACTATGTTTATTTGTGATAAAATGCAGCAAACCTACTAAATAAAACCAATAGTTTGTAGCACATTGTACAGAGAACTTGAATGCAAAGGGAAAACTGACTTCCAGTTCATTCTGACTCTCATGAAGCCTTTCAGCAAAGCCTTTTGTGTTCGGGCCTTGACCACCTCAGTGGCAGAGGACTGGAATCAAAGACACTGGAGGTCACCTTTGGATTTTTGCTGGATTTAAAGCAAAGCCATCAGCAAATGCCTCTGTCGAAAGTTTCCTAGGCAAACTTCTATGTGTCTCAGTGTCCAGAGGCAAACTTCTGACGACCACCAGGGAGTCCCTAACCCACCTCATCCCTCTCTACTGCACCAACAAACCTCACGCAGGATTCACAGACCTGGTCCTTCACAGACTGCACATTCTGAAAGATGGGAAGCACTAACAGTGTTCGTTCTAGACTGGATAGTGAGCAGGAGGCCTGTGCTGTGCTCAGCTCTTGCTCTTAATAGTTGAGTAGACAATTAAAAACATTTTGAGGTCCCTTCCAGACACCCTGGGACCTATGTATGGCAAGGGAATTCTCCATCCCGAGGTCTATTTCAGCCAAGACCTTCTGCTTAGCTATTTGATTAGGAGAGGGCAGTGAATTTGCTTCCACCAACCATCTTGGTCCTTCACTGTTCTGTAGATTTGAGACCATTCATTCTGTCTTGAAGTCTTTTCATGCTAGTACCCAGATTATATCTTTGTTCCTTCATTATTTACACTTTTGATTTTGCAGTCTACAGCAGAACACACCGTGTAGCTGAAAAACATCTTTCAGTTGCTCAGAGCTATTATTTACTAACTAAGCACCATTCATTCTTAATAAAGAGATTAGAGGATTTGTATGTGGGTTATTGTTAGAGGCGTAAGAACATTCTATCTTAAAAAGTCCAAGAGGCAAATGGTAAGTTTCTATTACAGGAAAAGGAAAAGAGTTTGAAAGTGAGCTAGCGGGAGGTGATTTAGGATGACCATTTCTAGTGAGATCTTCCATGTCCCCCTGCATCTCTACCCAGGATTCTTACTTTTCATTGATTTAAGTGTTAAGTTTTTCTCAATAAAAATGTCCAAGAAGAGTAGAGGAGATATATGTCTTCAAAGACAATTGCTTCAAATCCATGGGAATCTTTTAAATCTGCAAACTTCTTCAGGTATATAACTTTTTGTGCAGAGGCTCTAATAATATAATGATCAAGAAAGGCCTCTAAATGTAGACGTTAGTGTGTAGATCAAGGACCCATCAAGTGGTGAGGGAAAAAAAAGGTGCTGAAAGAAGAGCTCTCAGCTTGGGTCACTAGGCACAGCAGTTTACAGCTTCTTTACTGATTTATCAGCATACGACTCAAGATGCAATGAGGGATGTGTTTATTAACCTAACTCCAAATGTCTTAGTCTTACACAAGTAGGAGCGTGGACTTTTTGGTCCTTCAAGGAAGTCCTATATGAATCAGGAAACAGATTGCTCTGAGGCTGGAACACCCCAGTCAGATGCGTCCAGCTCCTGGGCCATCCCCGGCGGAAGGCAGAGCTGTCCCTCGGCTTACACCAACCATCTCTAACGTGGGTTCTTATGGGTCCTCACTGAGGCCCCCTGAACTTTAGCCCAACTCCGTGCACCTAATTTTGAAGTATAACTTGCAAAACTACAAATCCTAAGTGGAGTTTCTACCCCGCCATCAGAGAACACTCGCAGGTTGGTGGAGGCCAGGGTCAAATGCAGAGCCATCCTCAAAGGAACCTTGCCTGACACTGGCCCCAGACACCAGAAATGAGGCCGCTCAAGACAACTCCTGTTTATCTACAAGTCTAGAAGTTTCTGTAGAGTGAGTGTGCACGCACGCGCACACGAGCACACACACACATCTCTTTGCTGACTTATGCAGCATGTGCCTATTATTCCTTTTTATTCACTAGACAGCCTGCAAAATATTGGCAATTACAACATGAGAGACAGGATGCCTTCTCTTAGGCAATCTACAGTTCAGTCAGCAATGGAAAACCTTTCCCGAATGCCAATTAGTCATCTCAGATGCTGGGATGGAAGGAAGTAACAAGGCTGATAACCTCCCTGTTTGCATTCCCTGAAAAATCTTTTTAAAAATGCATTTGTCTGTGAGTTGCCTTCTCTTCATCCATCTATGTCTGCTGTTGCAGAGGTTGAGTTTCTTTGCTTTTAAATCTTTCATTACACATATGCCAACTGGCTGGTTAGGGTGCTAAATTTAGTACAACTGTTCTGTTCTTTAAAACGTCTTTGGAGTTTGCCTTAAGTGCCTGCTTCTGGCCTTAAAGGGCAAATAAAAAAACTTTCCAATTGGTTTCCAGCCCACATTACAGTGTGTATGTGTATTTGAAAGATCACTTCTTGGCTATAATTGGTAGTTTTCTGGTAGCTAGCTCTGAGGAAAGAATTGCAGAGCGCTTTCTGTCTG